AATTCATAGGCAATATTATATTAGTCATAGTGCTCAATTCATCATCCTCATTGCAGTAACACAAGACACAAGAGCATTGAATCCTGAATGTTGGGTATCCTAGAGATTCTCATCTGTAGTGCACATACAGCCTGATATGTATGACTGCACATGTTACTTGTTCTTTCCCAACTGTAGCTAAGCTGTCCTGGTTCACCATGTCTGAAATATTATGTACTCTCTCAAATCACTGAACAATGATACTACTTGCATAGCAGGACACTCATATCAGGGAAGATGCATAGGGAGTGTTTATTTAACCCAATAATGACAGTGATCCAAATCTATACCACCTTGGCCTAGACTTTCCAATGTTAGAGTCTGTTCAAGTCAACTGGTGCACTCATGATACCTCTTCATAACCTGTGGCTCATGCTGTGAAAATTAGTAAGTCACATATATCTTGCAACCTTCTTGATACAGTATACTGAAATGCTCATGCACATTACTCTCATCATCCCTCAGCCTGATGTGATTCCATAGCATGTGACTGTCAACATATATATGTAACAATATTCTGCTAAATCTGTTAGGTGGGCAGTTGATGTGGGCACCTCACAATTCAACCAAGGAGCTCACATTACTAGCAAATGAACACATACACAGATTTCTCAAGCTATGATACTGCTGAAATTGCCCATATCATGCCCTCATGGAGCTGTCACTGGCATCACTAGGAATGTTCAATGGAGAGCAGGAATAATTAAAAATAAGAGTTTTGTGATCAACAACACTGATCTTTTGTACCCAGCATGACCCCTTGATGGTAGTCAGATATAGAAGTATGATACCCATGTTGCATGATGCATCTATAGCTTTTGGTGAGCACAATGACTGCTCATATGTGATCCATTAGAACTTCAATGTTTCCTGGGGAGTTATGTGATTTATCTGAGCATGCAAGGAGGTAATTTAGCCTCAGAATGAACATATTGTACATATTGGACCACTGTTTCAGTATCATATGACCCCATGTCACAGAGGATGTGACTTGCCAGTAACAGTTTGCAGTGCTAACTGATCATAACAAATGTTAACTATACATGGTAAGCCCCTGCAAATGACTGTACCTGTGGGAAAAAACTGCCGCATCAGGCACCACTGGAAGCATTTCAGGCCTGTCCATCATAACAATGATACCTTCATACCTGAGGGATCATAACCTAATGCCACTGAACAGGGTAGGTATCAAAAACATATGTGTATTGTAATATGCAACACTGGCATCTAATAATCAGTATAACAGAGGCAGAGATCATGCAGATTGTTGTAGGCAAGTCTGACTCTGCTGAGGCAGGTAAGCGTGACTATGTGTATATGATCCGCCAACCCGCCTCACTACACGCTAGCCATCAATGAGCCTGACAACAAAGACAAGTACCTCAAGTTTATTCAGAAGGCCTTTGGAGACAAGTACCAAGATCTCCCACACGTCTCTGGGGAGATTGTAAGTGTTTCTGTGTCTTTCATATTCCAGTGGCAGTGACTGACCTCTGCATGCAGCATGCTCAGAAGATTGCTAGTTTCACACTGGACAATTGGAAGGTGTTGCAGCAGTGGCTCGTGGATCATGACACTCTGAATCAATTCCAGTGAGTATATATCCTTGTCTATGTGGAGATCCTATTGACTTTAGCAATCACATATTTTGTTATGGCAGCAAGCACAAGACATCAACAATGATGGGCCCCACCCACATGATTGCTGCAGAGAGGAAGTCCTACACTGACAGGTGGATACATTGCCTCCTGGTGTCTTGAAGACTGTGCTGGATCTCTCAGACAAACATGTGGAGTATGCATCAATTGATGGAACAAGTGATACAAAGAAGATTGTGGATCTGGTCAAGGCATGCTCAGTTGGCAAGAAGGTGTACATCACCCAGGTGAACAAACCATCCAAGTTGCAGGGGCTCTATGACAGCAAGGGAAAGGACAGTGTGCTTCCTAAGGTATGTTTGAACTGCCCATTGTGATTTGACATGTTTGCTCATGCTATTGAACAGCTTGTGGAACTGGGGGATGGACTAGTGAAAAATAGTGAGGTTCCGCACACCAGTAGCAGTGGGAAAGTGTCCCCCCCCTTTGTAGCCCTCACATGCTTCAATATCAACAAGCTGATCCCCATTGACTCTGGCACAAAGACGAAGTTAAAATGGGTGCTGCCAGGCACACATCACTATACTGATGCAAACCTCCACATCAGCAGGGAGCAGTACCCCACCATGGTTGGAGACCAACAATGGATCGATCTCGGACACAGGTCCATGGGTCACAGAGCATGACACCGTATTCTTTGGTGCTGCTCAAGTTTGGTGATTCTATATCCCATACTCGGAGCTAGCAATGTTCAAGCTTGGCGTGAGTAAGTGGTGGCCCATAGAGGTGTGGGTTGCCAAGGGCTTTACAATCATAAGCAACTGTCTTCTGCTAAGCAAGAATCTATGTACTGACTGTTGGTGACAAGCCTATTCTTGATGTGTACGAAGGGCAGGTCAGGAACCAGGTCAATGACTTCTTGAAGAAGGTCAAGGATGGCTACAAAGTGAAGCTATCCATGCGTGTTGACCCTACCAGACAACAAGGAGAAGGTGGTGGCTGCACCCACATGAATTTATGATACTGCAATAGACAAACAAGTTGAGGAGTTGTAAGCTTACAATGAACTCCTGCTCCATCCAAAAGATGAAGACTTATGCACAGAAGAAGATGTATGCTTTGAATCCCATATCAGTCAATTCTTCAAGGCAATCAGGTTGGGTGCAAGAGGCACCACCACCGAACACCTGGTTGTCAATTTGTTGGCTCAACACCAAGCAGGAGGTGGTGTCCAAGGAGGCTATCATGAACCCCTCCCCTCTTCCAGGAGATGGATGTTGTCAATGAGCAATGGGATGACATTGCCCAGCTGGCATGCAAGCACAAGCATCTTGGCACTGAGGATGAGCTGGAAGATGCTTGCTGCAATGGTCCAAATATCCCTTGCCAGTGAGCTTATACACTCAATGACAGTGAGAAGACATCACACGTTGTCACACCCCGTCTTACTGTTGTACATCTCACTGTCATGTGTCCTGTGTCTTGGATGCTGCATCCTTCTATCATACAGTCATCTTGTTGTATGATCAGGCCATACAGCCACAAGAACTTGATGTGGGGGATGAATTTGACCTCAGGCTCATCAAGCAAATCACTCTGAAACTCCTACCACTACATGAAAACTGCTCAGGATGTGGTGTGGTCATGATCAATGACAGCTTGAAGATGGGAATGTGGTGAAGGGGAAGGGGAAGATAAATCACATGGTCCTGCTGAGTGTTACAAGTCGCCATCTAACGTACATTTCATTTTGTTTTACTTTGTATCCTTAACCACCTTGCGTGCACAAGGACCAGTTATGTACTTTACCGCACCCGGACTATCATGTGATAGCTGACTCTTGCTGACTCATTTCTTTGTCATGTTCATCACTCCCTTCGTCAGCGATGACACATCCTGACTCATGCTTACTATACGTTCATATTCAGACTCGCCCACTTGTATATATACCTGTACAGTAGAGGTTGGACTCTTCAGTTTGACCTGGTTAGCAATCGACGCTAGCTTTCTCATACCGCTACTGCTTCGGAACTCGACTAGGACAAAGGGACTTGTGTCCTTCCTAGGTCTAAGATACAGAACTCTTCTCGAAGTTAGTAGCCTTGTCAAGCTTGTGGCTTGTAGTGTTCCACTCGCCCAGCTTCGCGTAACACTGAGTAGAGGCCAGGACACATTCCTATGTCTTGCATTTGAGGTTGAATATATCAAATGCCTGGGGACAGTACCTAGGGACAGATTGCTCCACCAGCAGAGGCCATAGAAGACCTGGGCAGTGATCGGCTGCTGGAAATAGAGCCACAGCCTACCTGCCGCTACCTCAACAACCAGAGGCAGGGAGATAGGAGTTGTGGCCTCCTAGAATTTGTTGTGAGTTATGCAGACAGTGGTAGAGATATCAGACAGATCCTGATGTATACTATTCACCACTTGATAATCACCCTTTGTTCTTCATTCCCTTTGAGGCTAGGCAGCAATGAATACTATCCCTCAATGCCAACTGCTTTGCCTCCTGTGGCTGCACTTGGCAAACTGTCATGGTGCAATCTGACATAAGATGTGCTGGACACTACAACCAATGAATTAACAGCCATTTTAGAACAAGGAACTATTAGTACTCACATAATCAAAAACTTTCCCAAAGGATGAGCAGCATAGTGTCAAAATCATGCAGTTCCAATACATTGTACACACCTTTATCAGACACAGACCATAGCACTATACACTATCATACTGCCAGTGTATAATAATGCAGGGTGGGCAGTGTCTTGCACCCCTGCTGGGCAGGAAAGACCTGCATGGTCATTGGCTGGCAGAGGTTGAACGTGGGGAGCTGGCACTCAGGTAGATGGCAGTCATCACCCACCTCTGCAATTAGAGGCAGTGGGATGGGCAGTTTCCACTCCTAGATTGCATAGTACATGAAGTTAGCTTGCAAAACAGGTGAGATGCAAAGTAGCCTGGTAATTCATTTGGTTGTTTCAATATGAGGATCATAGTCTGCAACCATGAGCTAATTGCATATCCATATGAGACTCTCTGTTAAGAGGAAAGACATCATGGATCTGTTTTTTACATGGTAGATTGCCAAGTTAATTACCAATATTACCAGAATACTGATGAGCAGTATTACTGGTTTGTATTGATAGTAGTAACAAACAGCAAATAACTTGGAAATGTTGCAAGGGGAGCTCAGTGTAAGGAGAGCATCTAGGATTCAAGGAAAGGGAATCTGGGGGAGGGTTGACTACAGTAACAACTACTCAGTTGGGACTTGCTGCTGGTGCTGTTGTACAAGTACTTATGCAGAACTGGCCCTTGATCAGAGAAAACTTCTCATATAGAAGGATGTCTTTCAACAGATTGTTAACTGTACTTCTCCAAGTAAATCTGACTTTTTTCTCTGAATTTCCTGCTATTTATCCAGGACTGCAGAGGCTATCCATGGCCAACTTCCCAAATGGGCAGGGGACTGACCATATATGGTAGGTTTGTATGTTTAATTTCCTCCACTTCACAGAGCCTCTCATACATGTGGAACTGTACAGTACAAGCATCATATACACAACAAGATTTGCCTATATCCCCCATTTGCCAAGGTCAGTACTCTGTGAAAAACAACAAGAACACCTGATCTGGGCACCCCTGTCAGTACCCAAGGGGCATCCCACGGAGAAGTAATATTTTGGTATTTTTCCGCATTCAATGGGGCTCTCAGTTAGTGCTGCTTGAAACCATCAAAAAACTGGGCATGAAGAGCTGAGACTGAAAGATTACTTTGAAAGGGAATATTTGTCAGCATTCCAGCCAATGAGAGTGCTCCGGAAATTCTTTTGAGTGACCAGAGTCATATTCCAGTCTGTCGATGACTCCGCTTCGGCAACGGGCGCTTAACTTAGCGCTTAGTAAGCGATGTAAGAGTGAATTGTTACTGCACCCAAATGGTCTTGTTTAGACCCAGAAAAAAGCGGAAAGATTGGAGAATATTGGGGATGGCCCAGGCAATATGATTGAAGTGGCCTATGGCATGAGGTTGATATCAGATAAGATAGCATTCTCAATAACCTGGTAAGATGGTTGCTGTGGCCCCAGTGAGCTTATTCATATAGCTTGCTACACCGCTCTAGGAACTACTCATGTAGTGGACATCCCCATAAGATGATAGTGTAAGTACAGATGCATGTATGTATACCCTGTATGTGTCTATGTGCAAGAGAAAGCCAGTGGCTGCACAATTGCCATATGGAGTATGTGACCTTCCCAAAAGAAGAATCCAACACAAACTGGGTGGGCTGAGGAAAATACAGAAAATGTGTGAAATATATAGACACATCAAAGACAAGTGTATGACTGCTTTCAGCTGCAATGGTCACCATTACATTGTATACAAGGGCCATAACATGGCAAAAGATGCTCAGATTACCCATTATAGTCCTTATTACCTGTATTATAGAAGCTACTGAGTAGTCCACAGTATCTAAACCACACACATACATTACAGTGTACACACCAACCATATTTGAGTCATAAACAAGCACTTTGAATCTGCAGAGGCACTTGTGCATTTTTTTGTTTTGCATTTCCTGGGTTAGCCAGCCACTGTATGCACTCAATAGAATTTTTCTATACTCTTTGAATGAAGGGCTATCAGGTGAGCATACTATGTATACTATGATCTTTTACTAGCTGAGACTATATAGGCCCTACAGTGTGTGAGCGCTTGCAGCATTGAGCCACTGAGCTGGCAGTCACATGATATGTTTACCACTTTCCTTATTGGGGGAACTGCTAAGGCATTTCATGGGCCTCATATCCAAAACAGAGTGCTTAGCCACTGCATTTGTTTGTATCTGTTGGCCCAAGTTGTGTTGCCTGGGAGTCTGATTATTCAGACTCAGATACTAACAGTTACTTATCTCTGCTTATTGGGGTGGCTGCAAGTCATGTGCACTGTGGGAACAAACTGTGATTCCAGAGGAATCACTAAGGTGTTTCATGGTGGTCCATCATAAGAATGATACCTTCGTACCTCAGGGATTGTAACCCATATAACACTGGCTTCATGAGAAGGAGCATGAGCAACTCTTGATGTCTCAAAAAAATAGCATTTCAAGAATGAGACACAGTACATATATATTACATGTATGCTGTTCAATGATTCACCATATGCCAGTTGCTTGAACTGATGTAATCAAGCACTCCAAATATTCCATTAATTCTACAGTATTTACTAGGCCCACAATGCATTGCGCAGTGAGATTGCCAATTGGGAGGGCACCTTTGTGTAGGCTCAGAGAATAATATTGGACATTGTGTGTGAGCGCAAGCATAGCAGCTAGTAATTCACTCCCTAAGGTACATACAGGCAGTGTGTCGATACTCTACATGTATGTATTGAGGTTTGATCTCAGATGGAAACATCTGAGATGGGCTTGTGCTTGCCCAAGCTCCAACAAACAACTCAAACACACCAGAAAATCAGTGAAGTACTAATGAGTCACATATAAGTGGTCATTGTGCTCACCCAAAGCTCTGGCAGCACTTTGCAACATAAGTACCATACTTTTGTATGAGACTACAGCTTATTCATATGAGGTGCAAGGCTTATGCAGACTGCCTGCTGCTATGACAGAAAAAACAGTGGTACTGATGATCAAATTCTTCACATAGAGGTTCTTGCTCTCCATTAAATATTTATAACAATGCCTGTGACAGATCCCTCAGGTCATGAATTAGGAAATCTTGGCAGTAACATGAATTTGATAATCTGTGGATGTCCTCAGCTGTTCAAATTCTTTTCCAGTACCAACACAGACAGTGTTGCATTGCAAGCTACTTCACAGAAACATCTACAAGCAGTAGTCACAGCAAGGACTAGGTGGTGGTGCTTCTATGTACTAGTCAAAACACACCTGCATAGCATCCTTAACCTTGTCCTTGCTGATGCCACTGTCTGTTTCTCCCTGCCTGAGTGCATCAGCAAACAGTTCTTTCTTCCAGTTCATCTTGGAAAACAGGTTCAATGACGAGAGAAACCTCTCCTGAGAAAATCCAAGAAGGGCCTTGCTGCTCCAGAGTGGAGCAGAGGCAGCATGGTTTCTCTCGATTGGAAGGCCAATCAGCTTGGAGACCTCAACCCCATACACTATTGTGATTAAGGTGAGATGTTTTTCACACTCTGCTGCCTGTTCACTGTCAATGAGACCCAGGCAGTCAAGGTGGAACCACTGGGCACACTGTGGACACCAGCACAGGATATGCTGTTCAGGTGCAGAGCCATGGAGATGTTTGCACCCATCCCAGATGCAGATCTGATCCCCCTGTCAAGGTGATTTGATATGTGCTGTGCTAAACACTATGTAGAGGAGCACTCACATACCAAGGTGTTCACAGAAACAGGTCGCCTGATTACAAATTTGATGGAGATGCCATGCCAATACCAGACATCCTTGTGCATGTATTGAGTGCTTGGAAGCAGGGGGGAAAGGGTGATGATCAGTAGGTGGGCTATACACATGCTCAGAATGGCACATGCATAGATTCTGTGCACCTACTCTCAAGAACATCAGCCTGCTGGACATCATAGTGATCTGAATATACTAGCTTGTGATCACCCATGATGTGTGAAAGGCTAACAATGTCGTGAGCATGCTAAGCTGTGCCCATAGCAATACACCCACCACATGAGGCTGTCAGTCCTTCTGTCCACCATAACATCCCCAATATCAGCCCACATGTACATCCATCTCAGCCACACATAGAAGATGCAACACCCATTCTGCATAGTGCCATGAAGTCCTGCAATGGTTGCAAACCAGTAGATCATATTCTCTGCTCCAGTGTGAAAGGTCTCCTGAGCAACAGTCTTAGGCATTGAAGGAAGAACAATCACATGATTGTTGACTTGAAAGAGGGTCTTCTCTTTTGTCTCCATGTTGGACACTGGGTGGGAACATCAGAAATGGGTAGCAGATGAAACCTTATTCACACACATTCCACAGTGTCCACACTCTCCAGAGTGTTGTACGTTTCTTGGTTCATGCAGCTGTACTGACAGCATGACCACCCAGGTATAATTGAAGGGAGTCAAGGAAGCTAATTGGATTCATCATGCTATCTGTGAGCAGGTTGTCTGGTGGCATCAAATCAGAGAACAAAAGGTCACACATGACTGAAGTAGGTGATCCAGTGAGGCCCTAAGCTTTGAAGTGGCATGCCCTGCTGCACAGCAGAGGCTAGAGATAGGGATTGCCTGTGATCCACTTGCCACACTGCTCATGGTAGCAGTTTGTCCATCCATTGACCAGGAAAATTGGGTTTTGCTCAGAAACACAAGAGCAGTGAGGTGAACCAGGCTATGAGCAGTTTTCATGTGGTTGTTAAGACCTGGGGCTATGTCTGTAGTACATACAGATTTACTTATTACTTATGATTATGTACCCTTGATAAAGGCTGTATGCCTTTGGCAATTATAAATCAGATAGAAAGATAAGAGGACATTACTTCATTACAGCGGATTAGTAACAAAGTGTTTACCAATAGTTAAGAGAGTTGTAACTATTATTGCTGACAACAGTGAAGAGTGCAGAAGACAATTATTAGGTTCAAGAGTCTTTCTTGTTCTAAGTCCAACTCAAAGAGCAACTGAGTGCACTTAAGCTGAATCCATATGTGGAGCTATACCAAGTATAGGATTGGATAGACCATTGAGTATTGCAGTAATCTACTCATTGTGACTTTGGTACCACATCAGGGATGGTTTGGGGACAAGTTTGTCCAGCCATCCTCCAATTCGAGTACAAATGTCCCCAGTATGGTAACTTCAAACCTCAAACCATCTAATACAACACAATCACTCCCTTTCTATTTCATATATCAGCTAAAGTCCCCCCTCAACATGTACAAGCAAGAATACTATGGTTGGCTGGTAACTTATGAGGACATGCTGTTGCACGTCGCTTGGTTCCTGCATAATGGACAGAGTGAAACTGCAGCATCCACATTCTTCCTTCTGTCACTGCAAATCACATTCCTCTTTCTTTGATGCAGTGACAATAGACATGGAGCATTTGTTCAAGACACCAATGCACACACCCCAGAGGACCTCACATTTAAACCCCTCAAGGATTCTGCCTTGGCAAATCTCTGGAATATCATCCATGCTGACTGACCATGACACCAACAACTGCAACAATGACAATGGTGATGATGGCAACTCTGCTGGTGGCAATGTCTGAGACAACTCTGCCAACTGCAACACTGTTCTGCAAAACTTTCTGAAGGAAGACCATAACATCCTGCAGCTCACATTTGGTAACCTACATGTTTCAGCTTGTAGAGATTATGATCCCTGAGGTACAAAGGAATCATTCTTATGACTGGAGGGAATGTAACACTTAGCATGGAGCCCAATGTGGCAGGTTTTTCACACAATGTATGTGACTGCACTGCATTTGTTTGGGTGTGTTGGTGCAAGCCGCGTTGTCTGGGAGTCTGAAACTTGAAACTCAGCTAATGATAGCATAGTAAGTGTTACTGATCTCAGACTATCTGGGGCTCAAAGCTGACAATTCCCCATGGACTTGGGGCCTACTGTAACATCTAGCTTGGAGCCCAATATGGAAAGTGACAAACATGGCATGTGACCTAACCAGCAGCACTGTGCTCCAATATAATCAATCACTTTTTGCAACAGTAAGCACTCACAAATAGATATGGCAAGTATATAGTCAACTTGTAGCCCTTGTTTCATAGAGTCTACAGTAATTTTGTTGGGCCCCAATAGTGGCTGGTTAGGCCAGAAAATGCAAAATGCAAAAAACACAAGTGACTTTGCAGAATTTGAACTGCTCATTTTCACCCTAGATATGGAGCACATGATCTATACAGTATAGCCATGTGTGTCAGACATCATGAAAATGCTTTATGGGGCCACAACAGAGCTCAAAATGGGCAAGTACAGCTAATTTGATGCTTGTACATGGTATTATAGCTTACCTTCCATATATGGTAACATGCTGTAAACATCACAGACCTCATCAACATGCCATAGTACTCTATGAATATCTTCTGATTTATCTGCAATTTATGAACCACCAGACATTCACTTCAGTGAGAATTACTGGATTGGGAAGGTTACTCACCATTTAGGGCAATGTGAGCTTTTGTGATGCTTCTTGTGCAAAAGCACTCCCACAACTTGCCTGGAATGTGTATTTTCCTGGATAACATCAGTGACAGATCACTGAGTATGTATACATATCTCTATTGCACCAAAAAAGGCACAATGGCCACTGTGTCTAGCCAGTCACATGATCCATGACGTGGGGTCGCAGCACTCACAGCGGTGTTTTATCGCTGCAGTGCTGCGATCGCACATCATTGATCATGTGACTTCGAAAAAGCGGTCAAAAATGCGCAGAATATTCATTCCGAGGACAAAACCTACTGTTTTGGGCCCAGAAAAATTGTGTGAATTCCCAATAAATTGGAAGGCCTCAGTGCAGCCATCCTGAAGTACTTTCAGGTCATATGAAGTCAACATCATCTAAATTACAGGTGCCACAAGGCTGCCAGACAGCTTTCAAGATACAGTACCACATTGGGTACTGAGCTGTGATATCTTGGAGTGATTTGCCTGAGGTGAGAGCACAATGTTTGATGTTTGAGGATTCAGACAGTGTGATACTGAGGTATCCAGTATATATGTGGCTTGGTGATTTAGAGTATGCAGTTAACAATGTCACTAGACACTAGTGCATTGCATGGGTATGGGTATGGGTAGCCAAAATCTGACCCATGTACCCATGCAACCCATGGACTTCTGTGGTAATAATTCAGTGGTAAAATTTGGCAACTGTTGATTAGATAGTCTGTGCTATGTTTCTCTCACAGTTCAACAGCTATATGGTGATCCTGAAGCTTGCTTCAAAGTACTTTGCAATAGCAGTATGGGAAAGTTGACAAGTGTTCCCTTTCTGTAATGTCAGCCTTCAAGATACAGTTGGTACTTGCTAGAATTGCATTATATATTTGAGTCCATTTTCAAACATTCAATAATGTTCAACTTATGATTATGAGGATGATTCAGCAAGGCCAACCTGCAGGAATATAAGGAGTGTCAACTTGCTCATGGACGACACACTTTTGCTCAACAAACCATCTATCTTGACCCACAACTAACAACTACAGTACTCTGTACATTGTAGTTAGACCAATGCACTGTTCTTTCTAACCTAACTCTCTCCTTGTTCATCTCATCTACCTATCTAGCTCTCCTGACCCAAGCAATACCCTGAGTGACTGGAACCAACTTTGTGCAAGACCTGCCTATGCCACATCCTGTCTTCTTATAAGTAACCAGAAGACAGATTTTGTCATTTATTGTTATGCTCCAACCAATGATACACAGACTACTGAGGTTGTCCTATTGACAACAACAAGTGCATTACAGTGTATGTACCATTATGCTCAATTCAATGCAGTGCCATGTGCTTGGTAGCCCAGTGCAGCTGAGATACTATACTGGCACAAAATATTATCATACTGAATCTTACCATGCAATTGTCCATGCTGGACAGCCAGTAATACTGTATACTTAATTCCTTGCTAGGTACATGTTACAGGGCCACTCTAGAATTTTGAAAAATCAGTATGAATACTGTGTCATGGACCCCTTGAGGTGAGCCTAGACCTGCAGTTCCAGCACTACATTTAGCATAGATGCCTTGTTAGTTAATTTTCTAAATCCAGGATTTCAGCAGAGTGACCAGTGGCCACAGTTACATGCAGGTGGCAGGCCATTGAATACAGTAGGTCTACGATCATGCTTTCTATAAGACATCATGCTCCTTATTGTGTCACTTATCACCTGGCAATGTATTAACTAGGCTTGAATGAAAGTAATTGCATAATGGGCTGGTCACATTCATCCCCTGGCCCCACTTATCATATATTAGTGGAAGCCTGTGACATAAGACAGGATTCAGTGATGATGATCAAGAAATAAATTCAAATAGTTTTAATATGATCCTCTTCTCAGGGGCTAGTCTGACAGACATTATCATATTCATGACACAATGCAACATCTTGTCTGTGTTTCAGTTCAATTTTTGTATACCCTGAGATACATTTGTTCTGCTCAATGTTGACCCATTGTAATCCCACTACATTTGGGTGATCCAATATGATGGGCTTTAGAGGGTTCTGCCCATGGTATCACTATACATTTTGTGTTGTGATGTGTAAGACTTATTTGTGTATACAGCCTTGCTATTCCCCAAATGTTGTGGTTGTCCCACCTGAATATCCATATATGTTGGAAATATAGGTACAGTAACTGCCCTCATGTAAGTGACTCCCATCTAATCAATGTGTCCTGGCTTGCAAAAGTGGAAGCTTCAACAATGTTGTGATTGACCATGCAATCAGTGAAACTCACCTGGCCAGCATGATACCAACAAACACATCCCATATCATGCAAAATTATGAGTACCATGAACTGCACATAGATCTACCCATGATAGTACCCATACCCAAGGGTACCCATGATACCCATGCAAAACCCATACCCATGGCATGGGTATGCAACCCATGTGGGTATGGGTATGTGTATGCCCTCAGACACCCATGGGTACACCCACGCTATGCACTACTAGTAGACACAGCCATGTGTGCTCTGATATATATTCACAATCACAACACAGTGGCTCTACTATTTTCCCCAGCAACTGCCTTATGTAGTACCCTGAACCAGTTAGGAATGTATACTGTTCTAAATGTCCTTTGATACAAGCACAGAGCAGACAAACACAATGATGGAGAAAATCACAAATGCCTATAGCTATGGAAAGATGCAAATATGACAATTGCTTGAACTAATGCAATCATGCACTCTGAATATTCCATCATTCTTACAGTGTTTACTTGGCCCACAAAGCATTGCCCAGTGTGAGATTGCCAATTGGGAGGGCACCTGCCATATGTAGTAATCCTGATTCAAGTTGTGTGATAGCTCCTGCTTCACTGGCACAGACCCTCTC